ACACACCCAGTAAGTCCGTCCTACAACTGTTTTTTTTCCCCTTTCCAATTAGAATTCCTATGGGATCACTTCACACAAGTAATGTAAGTAATACGTAGCCTGTGGGTTGCTGGTCTGAATGTCTGAGAGAAAAATACCATTTGGGAGAAACAAATTATGTGCTTGGTATTATTGACCATGTAAAATTTTATAGTATAATTTGTGGTATGGATTAGGTTATAGGATGAGCACCATTACTCCACCAACATGATTTAAACACTTTGATTATTTTATTTTCTAATTCTAAGATAAAGTGGTTGGGCATCTTATGTTAAAAAGACATCAGAATTTTTTGTTTAAATTATTTAAATTCAGTTTTTTCTTAAGTTCCTCTCTATGTGTCTTCTTACTTCAATGAAATGTAAGGTGACAGAAACATAAGACAAAATATTTTCTCCCTAGAAACTGAAACAAGCAAGAGAAAGAATAAAGACTACTACCTACCATATGTTTCATTATGCCATAAAACTTAATTCTGAACGTCCTTTGACAAAATATTATGACTTACTTTTACAAGCAGATGTGGTAGAACCTATCTTTATTAAGGTTGATGACACTCCATTATAAGACCCTGCCTCCATTTATAACTTTGATAAGCTTAAAAAATTTATGCTGAAATTTTCCAGTCTCCTCTCTGCTGCAGTGCCTCAGGCTGATTTTTAGTTTAATGTCAGCTAAAACATCCACTGGTTTCTCTAACTGAGGCAAGGGAAAGATATGTTGTTTCCCCCAGATTAAAAAAAAATACAATCTTTTCTTTTAAAAGGTCTAGTATACTCATACTTGGATCTAGGAGCTGAAATATATTAAAGGATGGGAGGTAGGATCTTTGTATCAATGGTGTGTCTTTTGCTGTCCAAATTTGCCCAGCACGTGACCAAGTTAAAAGACTTTGGAAATAAATATAGGTTTTTTGTGCATGATCAGAAAAGACTTCTTAGATTTTAGAAAGCTCAAATTTCCAGATGGTTTGGGCTGTGCTGCTCATGCCCCAGCTTGAGCTAAGCAGGATTTCTCTACAACTGAATGGGGCTTTTAGGGGTGTTCTATGTACCTAAAATGAGGGAAGGGAAATTGAAAGGATAGAAGCAAGAATGAGTCCTTGTTGGGACTGTCTGGACAAATGCAGGGACAGGAAAAGGGAAGCTCTCAGTTACTATAAACAAACAATAATGATAATCATTATGATTATTACTGAGTAAAAGGGAGGCAGAATTATTACTGAGAGATACCAGATATCTGTACAGATTATTCTTAGTTCTGCAGCTGGTTTCATTGTGATTAGTTAGGGGTACACAAACACTGTGCATATTTACATCTCAAAATATATATTGTGTACAATCTTTCTAATAAGAACTGGCTGGCAGCTATTATTAACACACTATACTGCAGGGATCTTCATTATCATGTCTGAACAAATCTGTTCTAACTAGCTATTACACTTTCTCTGCTTTTATTGGCTCCTGTACTCAATATTTTTGAGCTTTGTGAAAGTCAAAATGTTTAGACAGATTTCTGCTTCTTACTTCCTTTAGCTGGAAAATATCACCATAAGGTCAATGTTCAGTATTTCATTTTTTACGCTGCTATACTGGGACAGGGGGCAGAGTGGTTAAGGTATCTTGCTACACTTGTAGAGGCATGAGTGCTAGTTTTGCTCTAGACTTATTCTGAAGGCTGCCCAGCTGTAAATGGGTACCTGGTTTATCAAAGGGGGTGGAATGTGATGTTAGGCATGTTGCTGTCTTATATGCCTTAAACACATTATCCCAATAAGTTGTTCGGCTCAGGTGGACCTTTCACGGTATGTTTGTGATCAAATACATTATTGTTATTATTTAACCCAAATAACTTATAACACATTTTAAGAAGTTCAGCTGCTGATTCTTCTTGTTCTGGTGTCTCCACTGCCCTCCTTCTTTTGAATCTCTTTTTCTCAGGCCCTCTGCTCACTCTCCCCTTCTAATGCCCAAGGTCAAAGCATGCATCATGTTTGTTTCCTTTTGACTTTACCCTCTTCATATCCTCAGTTAAGAAGAGACAGTATGCCATGTGATCATGCTGATCAGAGCTTGACTACCATTAAAATAGCTACTTGACAGCTTCATTGTTCTCTTTCTGCTGATTGCATAACAACTGGGATGCACGTTACAGCCATTTGGCTTCTCTGCGGATTGGGAAAGGTGAATTTAATTCTTCTTGTTCCTCTGCTTAGTCTCCTGAAAGAAGCCAGATTACTCAGGAAGTGGTAGAATTTCCATTTTATATCCTGAACACGTATAAACACAGATTGTGGCTTCTTCTCTACTTCCTTCTGTATTCCAGTCTGTTTGGAACCTAAATATAAATGTGCTGTATGATCTTCCTGTTCACTGTAAATACATCCAGAATTGTACAGGCCCTTCATCTATGGGTGAATTTCATCTATAATGTAAATTGAGCTGGGAGACTGTCAAAGGATTTGTAATAAGAATGACTTTTAAATGATGGTATTTATTGTACTATTTTGAAAATCTCCTGCTGTTTCATGTATTACATGCATCCTGTGAATCTTCTGCTACATCATCACAATTCAAAATGGTAGCTTCTGATTTGATTATCTTACTATATTTAACAGAGGCTTTAAAAAAATGAAAGCTCATGTTTCTTCGCAACGAAGTATTATTAGAGTACCTTGAACCAAGAACAACTTACTTGAAAATGTAATCTAATTCATTTTATGTTGCGAGAAAAAACCCCTCTGTGTTCAGTGATCACTGCTGTTACTTACGTATGCATCTTGAAAGAGTAAGATCTGGAACAAATCCCATTTTGCAAGTACATCTGTAGCTGCCCATCGTATTCAAGCACTCCCCATTAGGGCATACCCCTTGCAGCAAGCATTCATTAATGTCTGCAAGGAAACAAAAAAAATCATAATAGCAATAAATGAACATTAAAAAGTTCAGGCTTCACATAGGAACGAACTGTAAGACAGTTATTACGGTATTTACTCAAA